AGCGATTCACCAGAACGAATCACGTGATGACCGCGCCTACGACTGTTCGGCGAAGCGTCGATAATTCGGGCTTGCCTACTGACGTCTCTAATTTCCTTGATATTCGCATCGAAGGGTCCTTCCGCTCGAGGAGCTTAAGGATGCCAGAAATACCTCCGCGAATGTATAAACGCCTTGCAGGATAGACCTGCAGGACTTGTATTAATTTCATATCCCTTCCGCTGTCTGACGCCGGGACTGCGTTCAATCATCTATTTATTGCCGGTCGCGTCGCCCAATTCGCTCCGTCTCTCTCATTTCGAGATATCGCCTAGATGCGAGGGAGTGGCGACCGGTTATTAATTTCCACTAGCACCCCCGCTAAGATTTCCCCGATGGAGAATACGTCGCGGTCCTCACCTGTGGAGTGACCAAATTACGCAACCGTGATTCGACAGGCGCGTCGAATAAGCGTGTTCCGACGTTGTCGCATTCTCAATTACTCGACGATATTTGTATCAGTTCAACGAATTTATATATCTCAAGATATCAATGCATTGATTCTTTAAAATGAACAAGTAACATTGCGGTACTGAAGTAATTGAAGCGCTAATAGCGCTACCAATAAAAATAAATTGTTCTTATTAACAGATATTTCCTAAACTTATATTTTATTTTATAGTCACAACTATTACGTATAATGAGATATGGGATTCCTTTTCCAAACATTTTTCAAACTTAGACTGCGCTGAATGAGATTAGAATTAGGGATGGAGGGAAAAAAAGTAGAAATTCGACTACCCGGGTGAAAATAAAACGCGAGTCTCGCTAAATAAGGCACCCCGAGTCGCGATTAACACGATGCTCAAAGTTGGGGAAGGATAATATCTATGCAACCGACAATATAAACGCGCTCGTGGAACGAAACTCGCAATCGAAGTGGACCGCCGATGCGCAGCGTCCGCAGGCGGCCCCTGCGGAGCTTTGCGTGTCCGGTGACGCGGTAAACGTAGAAATCCCTGTAACGGAAATCTCGAGAGCGTAGCGGAGAATTGGGACAACGCGCGCCCTCCGCGCGCGCGGGGTGCTCGAAGTTAAACGCGCCCTATTAGCGAAAACGAGTCAGTTCCTTGCTTCTAACTGCGAATGCGCCGCGCGCCGAACACCGTAAAGGAATTTGCGGTTCGAGTTGCTTTGCTCTCCGAGATCTGCAGCGACCTTCCACCTACGCCTTAGACCGTCCTCCCCTTTTCCCAACCCTTCTTCGTCACACCACCCATCCCGACGGTTTACTTCAGCCCCGATCATCCGTAGCCTCCGGTCACCCCAAGGCTAGTTTCTCCCTGGAACCCTTAAGCCCAACTATCCGCACAAGTTGGAATCTGTGGGTACGTACGTCGCGACGAAGCTACCATCCCTTTTCGTAACAATTCTCCATTGCTCGGTATAGCCGCGCCGAAGATTTCACGACGTCTATATTAGTTCTGCAGACTTCGGCGATCTAGAGAATCGGACAGCGACGGCGAGAAAGATGAAGCGCGTAGTAGTGTCGACGACAAAGATCTCGACGTAACGTGGCGAGATCACGTATGCTGCAACGGTGTGATCAATGAACATGTCTTGGGGAAACGTATCTCCTCGATCGAGAGGATTTAATATAAGAGAGTACTATACATAGAACTTTTGCGACTTGTCATCAATAAAATGTAGTGAATTATTCGAATAAATGAATAAATTCGAAAAAGAGGGTTCTGACAAAGAAAGAGGATAAAAAAATTATTAATCTTAAAGCAATATCGTGCAAATTGTACAATCCCATACCCCGGGTCAGATGTCATATGTCTTTCATGTATAAAGGAAACAAGATATACAGTTTCTGTCTCAATGTTTCTTTAATATTTTATTAAAGTTAATAATATCACATAATCAAGGTGCAGTTTTACCTCCACTGCTTTGAAGACTTTAATGAGATCATCAAGGGCATCGCATAGAAACGTGACAGCAGAACCGTTTCATCACCATTCATGCTATTATGCGAAGATTCACTGTGGTTCCGGTTTTGATCCTGCTCTTCTTTTCAAACCGGTCAACCTACGAGCAGCTGGACCATCCGGTCTGCAACGACTTTCGAGTTCTTCCTAAACGGTCGTTTCGTCAACGACATTCGAAAGACATAGACCGAGTTGGTTCAAAGGCTGCGCTCTAAGAAGAGAAGTGCAAAATCATAAAACGCGTGTCGATATTGATTCCGCGAAAAATCGCCGCGGGCGAGATCCGCGAATCAAGGTTGGAATCGTCGAGAGGGGCAAAGAAGAACGAGGGATGCGGATGCCGAGGGGACGACACGATAACGAAGAGAGAGAGGAGACCTCCACCCAACCAGCAAAGACCACCCACGGGATTTCCTTAAAGGCGGGGCGGCTAGATTATGGAGCTCCGTGCGAAACTGGCATCGAGCAATTATGGATGCCGATTGCTGGCATCGATCCGACAATTTCATATAGACCGCCAATTTCCACGTGATCTGGCCGTCCGACTTGGTATTAATTAAGCTTAAGTCACGAACACGTACCCGCGAGGCGCAAAACTGTCGAAGGTCCTCCCGAGGAAATCGCCGGAACTTGGAGCGATTCGTCTCGGAGGAACGTGAGATCGATGCGCCGAGAGAGGTAAACGTCTCGACGGACCTGATGTATCTTAAATCAATCATAGAGATGTATTAAAACCAACGTGATGTCTTATTAAACGTTGCGATTTGGAAAACGCATAGTCACGTCGACATATTTCTTGATTGCTAAATATAGCCAAAACGAAGGTGTAATTTACTAAACGAAGATACGCCGCGAAGAATACGCAATTAAAGTGCGATTAAGTTCACACACCGGTAGTGAAGGGATACCGGCGAGTCGGAGAGGAGAAAGGACCGACATTGGGGAACGTAAAGTTGTCCCGCGAGATTCAAGGAACGGATCTACATACAAGGCAATAGTCCGAGTGCTGGATCGTGCTCCTTCCTTGAGCTCGCGGGTTCTCCGGCGAAAGGGGCAATCCAGACGTAAAGGGGATCTTGGTTAATCTTACTAATCTTCAACGATTGTTCTGACCTCTAGCAGCACAGTGGCCCGGTCGAAACCGCGGCCTAACGATATTACAGATCCGCCAATCGGCGGCACGAAGAAACGAAGACGATGATGCCCGACGCGGACTAACCGCTGGTAAACCGACTAAATGCTGAGTAAGAGTAAATTCTCTTTGAACCGCTGCGTCGGGTCGAATCAGAATTTATTTAACTAACTGCAAGTTTTTTCATCACAATCTAGTTATATCTGCGTCGTCCTTTGCGAAAACAGCGCAGATAACCGGTGGTTCATTTCAAAAGAAAATCTTCAATTTTAAGAAAGAAATAATTTATTAACGTTTATTGCTTAGTTATTTTCACGATTGCGATATTCTCAATTTTCGATTTCATTTTTTACAAATGATATTTTCACATCTTTTTATTTGTAATAATTATGTATTAAGCGTTTGATGTATAACAATGAATTATATATTAAGCGTCTGATCTTGATTAATATTTCAATATTTAGTATGAATATATTTTCATTATTCGCGACAAATATTAAGGAAACTTTTATTATCAATTTTTTTTATAATATTGTATAAAGAATAGGAATGTATGAATAAATAATACAAGTTCAGGAGATAATATTAATTATATATCGATTCGAACGTATAAGACTAAAATATGTCAGAGTTTATCGCATTGAATTTCGTAATATGCGTAACCGTCAGACCTCGTATTTTTATTGCATATTTATGTTTAATTCACATCCCCGCAAAGATACAATCATCGACGAAAGTTATGCGAAATTAATAGTTATCGTTGAGTCGTTGCGTGACATCGTCTCATGATACGTGCACCGGCAGCATTTAAGTAAGAGACTACCATTAATTGAAACATTATCATACGTTTCGTTAATTAAAACTTTTTATATTAGATTTACGTTTAACTAACATTTAAATTAAAACATATTTAAACAAATTTACGGATCATTAAACATCTAATCATTATTTTTATTATTTTTCAAGTTAATAAGCATCCTATGAATAAATAAAAATTATAAAATAAAATTTATGAAACATAAAGAAAACATTAATAATACGTTACAAAGTAATTTCGGATTATTATCACTATATAACGACGAGCAACATTGTATTGACACAAAACTTACTAAGAAAGAATAAAGAATGTATAAAGAATAAGGAATTGCATGTTTCTTCATCTGCATTTAAAAGTACTCCTGAACTACGCGCACGCTAATACTCCAGGAAGATAAATCTAAGACACAAGATAAGGAAAATATCACTTGTACATAGATCGTCCAAACTTTATATCTTTGAGGTTGTAACGAATAGAGAACATTCGAAACGCCCGCCTTTCGCCATTCGCAGCACGAGACGCGTTATATAACGAGTTATAATTTTTCTTCTTTTCTTTAAAATATATTATAAAATTAAGAGCCATCTTATATAATTTATAATCATTTGTTTTTCATTGGTAAGGGGAATGTTATATCATATGCATATACTTGAGAATCAGAGTGTACATGCATGATGCAACGAAAGAGAGATAACTATACATAAGGTGCTTCAAAAAGACGTAATATTGTCTATCGAAGTAATATCCGCTTTGTTTTCAAAAATTTTATTCTCGATATTTAGGGAATTAAGGACGAAATACATCTAAATTAACTTTCAAAATTGAATAAATGAATAAAAATCCACGAGTAATTCAACTGCTATATTTCTAAAAACAATTTGATTGAACTATTAGATTGATTGACTATTACGTTAAGAATAAAAATATTTGTGAAAACAGATGAAAGATTATAATTCTCTTGTAAAGAATTAAATTAAATTTATTCAAGAATATTAATACTGATATAACTCGTATCTTTAGACCACCCTATATGTATACGTCGAAAACCACTTGTAAACCGGTCCGAACACTGAACAGATCCATTTGATCAACACCAGTCAGTCCGTAAATACAGAGGCTAATATTCACAAAGGAACTTGTCAATTTGTAACATTGAATAATAGTGGAGTTAGTGATAATAGTGAAAAATCTAAGCTCGATTTCTAACAAAGTGTAAATTTGTTTAAATTAAATGGAATTCTTTCAGATTTTTGGATAAAGCCATGTCTACGAATGTGCGAGGAGTTATACTGTCCGGAACGGAATTGGCGAAGTGAGTAGTCATTTATTTAATTTACACAAATAATCATTTCGCATTCGCAAAAACAAAAGAATTCAATTAATTATCTTGAGAAGATAATTATGACAATGCGAATTACTATATGCAATCACATATTTTGCAAAAAAGAATTGTTACTTGGAATTTTCTAAACCTTGTTAAAAACATTATTCATATTAATTATAATAGTTTGATTGGAATAAAAGTGACTATATAAGACGTAATATGTGTTATAATTTATTATACGATAGTGACGCATATTCTTTATGAGGTTATGGTACTTTCAATCACGCAATAATACATACATCCAAATGGGATATGAAAATAGTAACAGGAAATAGTAGTAATAAACTAAATAGTAATAAAATAAATAACAATAAATGTTGAAACGCAATAGAAATAACCTCGTCCATGTTTATATGACAAATAATCTATATGAGCAGATAATTGTAATACAAAGATTGCCCGCGAAATTTGAATATCGAATATCGCGGAAAAGTGAACTTTAATCGCAAAGTATATTGTTATTTTGAATAAATGCACCCGGATTAAATTTCTCATATATAATTATATATAGAATATGTTCATCTATAAAAATGTATAATTATATATGTTTATATATAATTATATATTAACGTATAATCATACATATATTTCATACATAATATATATTTTTATATATGGACATATTCTATATATGATGCCTTATGTATAATTATATTTGATTATATATAATTATATCTAATTATATATAAACAATTTTTTCCCGGGCAGTCAATTATATTATGAATAATACATAGTGAAATACATTGTAAAATAAATAATAAGCGCACAATATAAAAGTAAGTTAATGTTACCTACATTTTTTAAATAAAAAAAATGTTCTTTTTTAAAAATATTGTATTCCTTTAAATTTTAATTTTTCTTTATGTAAAAATCAGACAATTTATGAACATGAAATTATCTCAGAGCATTAACAAATACACATTTAACACAACTTTTATAGAGAGATTCGTGCCGGCTTAAACAAAGATGTAAACGACCTGAAAGAAAAGTTATCTGGCTTCGCACCAGGTTTGGCTATCGTTCAGGTAGGTGGCCGGGAAGATTCCAATGTCTATATCAAGATGAAAATTAAGGCTGCCGCCGACATAGGAATCGTCGCCCAACATGTGAAGCTTCCAAACACGATTACGGAACTGGAGCTCATCAGCAAGATTAACAAACTGAATAATGATCCTAACATTCATGGGATCATTGTGCAAATGCCGCTCGATTGTGTAAACAAAATCAATTCTCACCTGATTACTGATTCAGTTTCGCCTGATAAAGATGTCGATGGGTAAGTTAATAATGACTATTTTTCATATATAACATTTAATAATAATTGGAATAAATAATTATTATAATTTGATATCAACTAATAGTATCGTGATGTTCAGCTGTTGATTAAGATTATCAGTTTTTATGAATTTATTAATCGGCTATTAACCATTCTAAATTGAATCTTTCAAATAGAACGGACCGCTAATACACAAAAAAAATGGTTCGTATAATTGAATGGGGATAAGACGAAAACTTAGTGATAAGAAATAATCTCTGTTATCGCTACCGGAAAATTCGTTTAGACACATTCGGCAGCGTTGAAACCCAGTTGAAATAACTGAGAACAATTGACTGAATAGAATTTTCTCACAGGAATTTAGTTTTTAGTTTTTACAATCAAGTTTCCGTCTGTCCCTAGATAACATAAAATCAGTTACACAAACCGAGATGTTTTCCGTACATAATAAAGTAACATTCTTTAGCACTGATGTAATTTCAACTTCGTCATATTCTATATCGATGAATACATAGGTCGCCGATTAAATTCCGTAAATTGATGTCAGCGAAATGCTTGTCGGTTATTTTAATGTAAACCAGCGCATAGATATGTCCGCAATTACGAAAGTGACCGAGAAGATTTCATGACGCATTTAACAGCGATAAACAGGAGTGAAAACAAAAATAACTTGCCCTTTGACACACGGATTTCAGCTTTGTGAGATAGAAACACATGTAGACGTCAATTTGCATAAATATGTTTTGTACTATATAGATTTAGAAACAATTATTATCGTAATACTAATTCTATAGATTTTCGCAAAAATCTTCACCACATCAAACGTGAACTTATTTAATCATGCATAATATCATATACACGACAATAAATGTTCATAAGTATTTATTCACACGCGTAAAACACATAATTATTTAATTGCAGACTAAACACCATTAATGAAGGCCGAGTTGCGATCGGTGACATGTCCGGATTTTTGCCATGCACTCCGAACGGCTGCATCGAGTTAATTAAAAAGTACATTGTTTCACCGATAAAGATTAAAAAATTACACAATATAGACATTGTGCGTTAGATAAATAACAAAAACAAATTTTAGGAGTGGCGTTCCTATCGCTGGCGCACGAGCCGTGGTTTTAGGAAGAAGCAAAATCGTCGGCACTCCCATTAGCGAGTTATTAAAATGGCATAACGCCACCGTCACGGTTTGTCACTCGAAAACAAAGAATCTGCCTGATGTTGTAAGTAACTACTGAAATCTGTGATACTATACTTCATAAATAATTAAATGAGTGGAACACTTTCAACATACTGGTGCCATTTCAATCTTTCATTGTAGGTACGTGAAGCCGACATTCTCGTTGTAGGCATAGGGCAACCCGAATTAGTAAAAGGTGATTGGATTAAACCAGATGCCGTTGTTATCGATTGTGGCATCAATCCTGTACCAGGTTCGTAACTCTTTGTTTTCTTTTTTCTCTTCTCTTTCCTCTATGAGATATGATCGATAAACAGCTTTATATTTGTGGTAATATATTCATTCTAAAAAATTGTAATCCACTCTAAATTCTCGTTGAAGAATCTTTACTGAATAATGCCTCATGTTAGATGTTCCGAAACACCCTGAATAACATCGTTTCGAAATAACACTGACATATCGTCATTATAGACACAAAGACTGTAATATGAGGATCTATCTCGCCTATCGCATCCGTTATCACCTCTTCATGACAGACCCTCGCGTTGTATAAAAAAAAATGATATATTTACTTACGAACAGCTCGAGTTACCAGTAAACTGCGATACGGGAAAGACTGTTATTCGTAACAACGCGGTCGCATTGACCGTTAATTTTCTATTTCGAGTTCAGTCGCGTTCAAGTAAGCATGTCACGCATGTACGTTAGTTTTCAATAATAAGCCGCGAATAAATAGCGGGTATTAGCTAGTTCATCGTTAAAATACGTGGGAGACAATACGTAATGAAGTGATTTTTATCACCCAGCAGGTATATAACAGTAACTTTTCCAGTATATTAAATTTGTAAGATGAATTTGCTATACTTTAGAAAAAATTTAATATATCTAACGTTACTATGTGTATGAGCGGATAAATGAAAAAAAATTTATCGTACATTAAAGACAATCAGGTTGACAATGTGACAACATGAACAATGTTTCAGATCCCACGAAGAAAAGCGGACAACGTTTATTGGGCGACGTAGAGTATCAGACAGCTGCCCAGGTAGCTTCGTACATCACACCAGTGCCAGGCGGCGTCGGGCCTATGACAGTCGCGATGTTGATGAAGAACACCGTGATATCCGCGCAGAGGGCAGCAGAAAAGATGCTTACCACCAAGTGGAAACTAGGAATTCTCAAGTTGAATCCCGTTCGACCTGTGCCGAGCGACATTATCATCTCCAGATGCCAGGAGCCGAAACCGATTTCCGCACTGGCCGATGAAATCGGACTGCTGCCAAACGAGTTCAGCCCCTACGGCAGCAAGAAGGCCAAGGTCGGTCTCGGGGTACTGGAAAGATTGAGGAATCAACAGAACGGAAAGTACGTCGTAGTGGTGGGCATCACGCCGACGCCGTTTGGCGAAGGCAAGAGCACAACATCCCTCGGCCTGGTACAAGCTCTAACGGCGCATCGCGGGAAGAATTCTTTCGTTAACCTCAGACAACCCAGCCAAGGGCCTACTTTCGGTGTCAAAGGAGGAGCTGCGGGAGGAGGATATTCGCAAGTATATTCCATTATCGACACTCTGGATCTGTTCCTATATAGGCTTCACGAGCTTGCACTTTTCCCTCTCTTTCCCATCAAATCTCAAGAAAGAGATGAGAACTAATACAAGCTAGGAACAGACACCTTATCATTCTTAACTCCCTATATGAAAATTCCATACAAGCGTTATTTACTTGACCAGCTTAATTAACGTCGACCTGCCGTAGGTAATCCCCATGGAGGAATTTAATCTCCATCTGACAGGTGACATTCACGCCGTCAGCGCTGCGCACAATCTTCTGGCGGCACAAATCGACACGCGATACTTCCACGAGTCGAATCAGACCGACAAGGCTCTTTACGACCGACTGGTACCGACTGTCAAAGGTGTCAGGCAATTCTCGAAAATTCAGTTGAGACGACTACGGAAACTGGGTATCACAAAAACCGATCCGAACGCGTTGACCGAAGAGGAGCGATGCAGATTCGCGCGGCTGGATATCGATCCAGAGAACATCACGTGGCCGCGAGGTGCGACATAACAACTTGAGAGAGAACATATGTATATACTTTGAAAAAATTTACACTTTCTTATTTCTATTATACAGTGGTGGACATAAATGACCGATTCTTGCGAAAAATCACCATCGGTCAGAGCCCAACGGAGAAAGGAAAGACGAGACAGACCTCATTCTGCATTTCTGTGGGCTCTGAGGTAATGGCAATCCTGGCACTGTCGACCGATGCCGAAGATATGAAGAAACGGCTTGGTAACATCGTCGTCGGATTCAGCAAGAACGGCGAGCCTTTAACTGCTGACGATTTCGTTAGTATATTCATTGAATTCTTACGCTAGATATATTATCTGAACTATAAGAAGCGTCGGTTATATTTTTATCATCTAGTTAAACTGGACACTTCCAGCGTTTTCAGCGTAAAGTATGTTTACGCACGATTCGCGTTAACTTCATAATTTCGCGCGACAGAAACAATTTCGCCGCCTGTCTAAATATTTGTTAATCCTCAGGGTATGACGGGAGCAATGGCGATTCTGTTGAAAGATGCCATAGAGCCGACACTTATGCAATCATTGGAAGGTACACCCGTAATGGTGCATACCGGTCCGTTCGCAAATATCGCTCACGGTTGCTCGTCCATCATCGCCGACGCAATTGCTCTAAAATTGGTCGGACCGGAAGGTATCGTAGTGACGGAAGCAGGATTCGGATCGGACATCGGCATGGAAAAATTTTTCGATATCAAGTGTCGTACATCCGGACTCATACCGAACGCAATTATACTCGTCGCGACTATCAGAGCACTGAAGATGCATGGTGGCGGACCGTCTGTAACCACCGGAATGCCTTTGAAGAAGGAATACATTGAGGAGAACACCGAGCTCGTCAGGAAAGGCCTGCCAAATCTACAGAAGCACATCAACAATGGGCTGAAATACGGCGTGCCCGTAATTGTCGCTATCAATTCCTACACGTGAGTCTATTTCGCAAGAATTGATATATCTTCCGAATCTTTCGCCTATTATTGACTTTGCTACGTAAAATCTTGCTTCCGTTCTGGTCGATCGTGAAGTACAGAATGACCTAACGTCACCTTTCAGCACCGATACTCAAGCGGAACTGGAACTCGTGAAGCAAGCAGCCCTAGAAAGCGGCGCATCTGATGCGATAATATGCACTCATTGGGCCAACGGTGGCGCAGGAGCCACGGCGCTCGCCGATGCAGTGATAGCCGCTGCGAATAAACCTAGCAATTTCAAGGTGTTGTACGATTTAGAAGATAGCATCGAGGAGAAAATCAATAAGGTCGCCAAGGAGATCTATGGGGCTGGTCGAGTCGTACTCGCAGAAAATGTAAATAAATCCTTACGTCATAATGCGAAATATATAAGATCAATATCCGATACTGCATCCGCTACAAAACTTTACGACTGTCGCAAGTTTGTTATCGCGCGTTGTTAACGTTTGCTATAGGTGCAGGAGAAGATTGAAAACTACAACAAGCTGGGATACAACAAATTACCGATATGTATGGCGAAAACTTCGAATTCGCTAACAGGAGATCCATCCATTAAAGGCGCGCCAATCGGTTTTACACTCGACATTACGGACATATTCGTTTCGGTTGGTGCTGGATTCGTAGTTCCTATGGTGGGGGAGGTAAGTGCATAAATACTATTAATTTAAGAACAGTTATTTATCACGTATATTTCTATCTTCTAATTCTATCTTGTATATTATACAGATAATGATGATGCCAGGACTGTCGACTAGACCGAGTATTTACGACATGGATTGGAATAGTGAAACTGACGAGATAGAAGGTCTATTTTGAAAAAAAAAACGCGCGAATTAAATTCTTTGGTAAAAGAAGCATTCTCACGATGTGTACTGATAAACGCATCGCTACGTTTCATGCGGCAATGTAATTGGCAATAAATTTATATTTCTATATATCTTTTTTAATAATGTGCCATGTACACAAGTATACAATCTCAACATTTATACAATGAAAGAACGATACGAATTATTGGAATACTACAGGTAAAATTTATTTCACCTTTAAAATAGCACGGAACTTAGCGGATCGTGCTCTCGGATTTGTTTTGATTTCTTCAGCTGTAGGTGTCAAAATATGCTTATGCATCATTTTCCACGGCGTTTCTGTCAAACGTTCAAGTTCTTCCTCATTGAAAGCTTTATCGCGATTTGCATATTTCAGAGATATGACGTTGGCCAGGTTATCCGTTATATTTCCAGAGATATGTCTCTTGATTATAGTATCTTCCAGCGAGTGAAAACTGATTGTTATTAAACGGCCAGACAGTTTCAAGTATATCCGGGCGAGGAGCATTCCGTAATTGATTTCATTTAATTCATTATTAACAAAAATCCTAAGTGCCTGAAACGTTTTTGTGGCGCTGTGTGAAAATCTGCCGAGACTGTCCTTCCTGATTTCACCACCTAGACTGGACTCAACCAGCTCAGCCAGTTCCTTCGTTGTTTCCAATTTTCTAAACATGTATCTAGCTTCGATAATGGCACGCGCGATTTTTTTCGCTCGCTTCTCTTGTCCGTATATTTTAATGATACGAACCAAGTCCTCTTCTGTCGCTCTCTCCAATACGTCCGCGGCGGTAGCTTGCTCCGGACATCGGAATCCATCCATCCTCATGTCCAATGGACCATCCTTCGATAAAGAGAAACCTCGGTCTGCTATGTCAAATTGCATTGACGAGCAACCAAAATCAAACAGACAACCATCTATGCTGTTTCTACCAATTTGATGTTGCTTAAGCAATTGTGGCAATTCCGAAAATCTACCTAACAAAGGAATCACTTGGCCTGGGTATTTCTGCGATAACTTCTGCGCATATTCATATGCTATGGGATCTCTGTCCAATGCGAATATCTTTACATCAGGTGAATGTTCTAAAAGTTTAGCAGTATGTCCACCAGCACCAAATGTCATATCTATGTATGTCTTGCCTGGTGATGGTTCTATGTATGTCAATACTTCTTGTGCCATAACAGGCGTGTGAGGATTTTTGCTTGGAACAGATTGTGAACCACATTGTCTTGCGTTAGCCGAATATAATAAATTAATATCGACCAGTAGCTTATCCGTTCTGTCAATGAAATGTCTTTTCTTAGCACATCTGTCTACAAAACTTGTAAGTCTAATTCTTCTTATCATCTTTTACTATAAGATTCTTTAATTTATTATAATATCTTGTAATTATTCCTTTATCTTCTTCGTTGAAGTATTCCAACATTTCCGGGGTCAGTGCCAAATTACACTCCTCCCTGTTCAATCCACTTGCTGTGCTCAACAAAGTGCGTTTATATTTTTGTCCATAATGATTTGACGAGATTCTCTTTAAACTTGCGTGATACCTATTACACTTTTCCAGGTCTAGTTGATTAGCTGCGTCACCTTTTGCAAATGCAATTTTTAGCTGATCACGGATATGTTGTCCCAAATCGCTAAAAACATTCAAAACCATATAAGTTGCGTGGAATAAAATAATAATATTTAACTCAATGTTGAAATTAATCAATTGTTAGAAGCTGTATAAAATTAAATAAAATATCCTAACCTAATAACAGCTTTAGTACCAAATATACCGCTACACTGAAAGTAGCTTCCGTGAAAATTGTATATACAAAATCTTGCTTTACACTATGCTATAAAGGAATTACCTGCCAGCTTTGGATTTGTCCAATGGCCACGATTCCAATAATTTCATGAAACTCTTATAACTACCGGCCATCACAACGTTGGATAACATACACGAAGCCTGTGACGTAATATCCTCATGATTTAACAGCTAAAGTTTCTCGGTGACCTACCTTACCTAGGAATAAAACATGTCTACTAGCTGTAGATAAGTATTACTGACCGAGTATAAAATTAACCTCAGTAGGTATCAAATTGACGATACTTTACCTCCAGTAGTGAATAACGGAAAACTAATAATAATGTTACTTTGTTAGAGAATATTTTATTTATCCATTACTTTAAATAAAATTATTAATAAAACATATATAAAGATGTTTGAGCAAGAAAATATCGATAGAAAAATACACAAGAAGGTATCAATATGTATAAAGTATCGTTATTACTTGGTTGATAACTCTATTAACCTTTATGGACGTAGTCACATGCATGAATAGTGATTCGAAGTGTAGTGAAATTTAGTGGTAAATATTCGCAATTACACTCCTAGGAAAATTTCAGTGAATATATAAGACTCAAAAGGAAAAGTATATAAGTTAATTTATTGAAAACAAATATTTTATTTTCATTTCAGTTTGTACTTTACAAGGCGCTTACACATGTGAAGATATTAGTAACGATTTATAAATTAAATT